CCCGCGACGACGACGAGCACGGGTGAGGGCCGCAGCCCCGGTGGTGGCGGAGAGGCGGCGGCCGGTCCCTGCAGGCCCCGTCGCCTCCAGCGGGGGTCTGGGGCCCAGCGTGGTCTGGCGGGCGGCCTCTCCAGCCGGGGGTCGCTGGGCTCTCCCGTTCCGTGGGGGTGCGGGCGCCCCGCCGAGGCGGGTGGCGGGGCTCGGGGCAGGGTCGGTGTGGGGAGCGGGGGTGGCGGGGCTGTGCGGCGGGCGGAGAGGGGCTGCCCGGGAGAGGAGAGCGAAGGAACGGCGGTCTGGCTGCCCAGGGGTGCAGCGTGGCTGCCAAAGAGCTGGTGTGATTCTTTGCTGTTCATGAAACGTGAGCAGGAGGAGTGTTATCTTCAAATGCTCGTTCAGAAAGATGAACAGGGAGGTTTTACCGCTGCCACGAGCAGAGTTTACAGTTTGGGAAATAATGCTTTGCCACGGGACGTTTATTCTCGGTCCTTTCCTCAAAGGTAGCTTATCTCCCTCTAACCAGAAGCATGTCTCTGGGGAGGAGACCTCTTCTGGGTTGAAACATAAGTAAGATGCGTTTTCGGTTGTTCAAGGTTCATCTGCGAGGATCTCACACTTGAGAATATGCATTGGCTGTGTGGTTTGTGTTCTGAACGACAAGAAAATCTTGGTTTGATTGTAACATGCAGAGTTAGTCCAGATGTGCAAGAAGTAGTTTTTTTACCCAGCCAGCAGCTGTCCTTGACCAGTGAGAATTCTTGCACTTTCCCTGCTGTTAGCACCCAGTACGCGCTGCTTAACGTTGTTCTGAGGCTCCATCAGATTATGATGCCCAGGGTTTGCTCTGAACTCTGTGTTCAAGAAATTGCTTTTGACAGTTTTCTTCATTCTTGACCTCACTCAGTATTGCAAAGAAAGAAAGAATGATAAAATAAAATGGTCATGCAGTTACTTTTTTTTTTGTATTATGGTAATATCCCTTTCCTCTTTGCCCAGTTAAGCTTTGAATAGAGTCTAAAGTCAGCAAGATAGGAATGAAAAGTCTTTAGTTTGGTCTGTTGCCTGTTTTAGCTGCTCTTGCTTTCCAGGGAGAAATAATTGCAAGGGAAGGAATGTGATGATATTGTTGAAGGAGGTGAATGTAAGTAGCAATATGCCACAAAAATATTGCAGTTTTTTCTTCTTCTCCAGTTTTGATGGACTGTAGCATGAAGCGTGTGCTACCGCATCACACATGAAGAAAAACTGGTTATTGGTAGCCTCTATTTAATTTTCTGCAGTCTCTTTTGTACCATCTTGAAGAATGATCAGCATTAGAGTACAAAGTCATCAGCTGAGTATATGCTATGTTGGTTATAGTGCATGGTAATTTTTTGCAGAGCAGTGAAGTGGGCAGGAGTCCAGCTTCTATTTCCTGTTTATCAATGTGAGTCAATAATGTCAATTAGATTAATTCTGAAATTGCCTGGCAAGGTAAAGGATATTGGCTAAACCTGGCAGGCTGCGTTAGAAGATTTCCTGGAAGCATCAGTGTAGGGTGTTTAAAGCTGGCTTGGGTGAAGGTATTACTTTTGGTTGGCGATGCTTCATTATATCAGTGTTACTTCTGACACTTAAAAGAATGATAAGCCCTGCAGCTGTGATTTTTCTTGAAGATTAAAGATGAGTTTATAAATTCAGCTATCTCCTTTCTTTGTGCACCTCTATTAGCAGCCTCTGCTTATTTCTAATATGGAAATTCAGATCTGAATACCTTTAAAAATAGCTGCAGTTGAAAGAGCTCATTGTGTCAGCTGTCATCTTTTAAAGCACCATGTTCAGCAGAGCTCTCGTGTTATTTGCATCGTTATTGACCTTGCACTGTTGTTAGTGATGGTAAAGTTCTTTGGAAAACTCTTAATGAAATCATGATGCGAGAGGGAAGCTTGTGAAATTGGGACACCGCTGGAACTGCATCCTAAGAGCTGGGATCATGGTTTAATGCCAGATATGTTTTTGGCATTGTTGGCATACAGTATTTTTCCTGTAAAAGCATGTGAGGGATCTCATCTAGCATTTTACAAAGTAACTAAGGAAGTGTGTGCATGTGTGTCTGCACAAACAGCTGAACAGTGGGAACAGGGAAGGGACGAATCTGCTATGGTAGGAACAAGCAGGGTGTGAGAGGTGTTCCTTTGAGTGATACTGCTGCAGAGGCTTCTTGCCTGTCAAGGTGTGGTCTCAAAATAAATGATTATACATATTTAAAGATGTGAGAGAACACAAATGAGCACTCCTGGGATTTTTCAAATCTGATTTTCCTAAGGAAGATTAGATTTCATGCTTCTGCATCTGAAGGGATGTCAGGAAGCATTTTTCTGTGATGATCCTAAGCTCTGTCATTAAGGTTCTGTTGCTCAGGCGTGCCTAAGCGTGCTAAATGGAAGACAGTCAAGGTAGGTGTGTGTTTTTAGAGCACTTAGTCACTCTCCTGTGATGGCTTTTTACATGGAGAGGTGAAATGACACATTTGTCTGATTGCCACTAATGATAAGCTTTAGGTGTTGGAATCCAAGTTTAAAGAAATTAGTGTGAAAAACTAAGCTACTAAAACCTTCCTTGGTCTTGTATTTATAAGTTACTGAATTGCTAGCTGTGGACTGTCTAATTTCAAGAGCAGTGTGCGCCAAACAGATTCTTCCAAGGTTGCCAATATTAATATTAGGTATGGAGTTGTGAGCCCAGGCAATAAACCTTGATGCGCTCTGGACGAGCGCGGTGAGCACAGAACACGTGATGGGAGTTTCTCCCATCTGTCATATTTCCTGTTCAACTCAGCTCGCTCCTTGTAGGGGCTGCGCACCCTTGGCCGGCTGCTATGGCCAGTAAAAATTCTCCTGCACTCACGGTGTGTGATCATTTTAGGTTAGTCACAGATTAACTTCAAGCAGGTGTTTAGCTGATGTTTAACTGGTGATTTTTTGACTCCTAAATAGATAGGTTTGGATAACTGGCATTCCTAGACTAGAGCTCTTGCTTTGTCATCGTGAGGCTCATGACTCTCCACCCTGCCAGAGCAGGCCATCTGACTCACGTGTTGCCCGCTTAGGTTGCAGTCCTAGTGTTGCAGTTCGAACAAAATGATTAAATAGAACTGAAACCTCAAACGTGAGTTTGTCACTGGTTACTGTATGCGAGGGGATTAAGCGCGCTTGATTTGTATTTGTTTCTGGAGTATAAATCTGTGGCATGTTAAGATTGGCATGAAATCCTATTTTTTAAATCCTCTTTTTTTTCCCTCCCATTGTATTATGCAGTGCTCGCCATAAATGTAAAACTGAGTTTGTGCTTGGAATTCTGCTTTATCAGTTTTGTTTTACAGATAGCATCTTGCTCAAGAGCAGCTGTGTTACTGAGATTAAATATATTTTTCAAATTTGTTATTGGAACAGTCTGTGTTTAAATAAGAGTAGTTAAGTTAAAGTCTTCTAGCAAACTGCTCCCCACCCCAAACAAAAAAAACCCTACCCCAAAATAAAACATCAACAAAGCCCTGTAACATTTCCTTTCTTAAATAGTAATTTGCAACACTTCAGGAATATGTTAATGCATAAGGTAATGTTAAATAGTGGAATGATTTTTCTATTCTAAAATTAAATTTCTTGGTTTAGTCTAAGGGAGAGACCACCTTGAATGAAGCCTGCAATAACCTTTTTAGAGACAATGTGAAACCTGGTAGGTTCTGATGATTAAAAATTTCTGTGGCTTTTAGATCAGTAGAGGGATGACTCTTCCTCTGGCCACAAGGCAATTGCTTTCCTTGTGGCTTGTATATTTTGTCAGTCTGGGTGGGCTTTTGTTTCTGCAATTATACATAAAATGGTACATTCTCTGATTAATTGAGGAAATTCTAAATAATGTAACATCACTTGTCTGTGTAAAATGTGGAACTCCCTCGGCTTAGTTACAGCAGTGAATCAGTTCTGTTTTATGATTCTACTTAACAATGACAAAAGCAGTATTAATAACCAGCTTGTTCAGGGCTATTTATTTTACTGCAGGAAGTTACTTGTTGGTTGGTATTGTTGATGCAACAGTTTCGCTAATAATCACAGCAGCTCACTGGGCAGAGGTGAGGTGGAAGTTATTTTGGTTTTGTTGAAGTGTTGTGGGCTGTCATACAAGGAAGAATGATTTTGCAGTAACTTGTGATAGGACCGTGATTGAACAAGACCAGTAGTCTTTTGAGAAAATATATGTATGTCTACGAATAAGAATACATTTGTAGATCACTGAATTTATTTAGCTATTGTGAATTGTTAGGGGAAATTAAGTTGCACTGATAATTTGTCATGACTTAACTAATGTACATACAGAACAGTGTTTAATAGCCATACTTTGAACACGTCCGTGTCGTAACAATATTGTTTGTGTATAGAATGTAGAAGAGGTCAAAAGACATTCTAAACATTCCTTTTCTGTGGTGAAACAGAACTAATTGCTTTTAGAATATAAGAAAAGTTAACTTCGTTATTTTTATTTCAGTAAAAAATCCCAGAAGTGGGATGAAATGAACATCATAGCTACGTACCACCCAGCAGGCAAAGATTATGGCTTGATGAAAATAGATGAGCCAAGTACTCCTTATCACAGGTAGGCTTGCTAAACTGGTAGTAAATGATAGTAATTTCACAGCAAAATTGACTTTGTGGATGATGTAGTACTTACCATGTCTGATTGCCTGACAGACTGTGCAGGCCTATCGGGTATATGCAACATATTCAGATTTACAAAGCTTCTAAATGAAGGCATGTAGCTACTGAGGAGAACTATCAAAAAGGACAAAGTTATTTTTTATAAGATCTATGTCTAGCAAGCTTTTGGCTTTGAATGGAATAAGTGAGTTTGACTTGTTTTGATTTATTTTTTTTTCTCCAGTTAACATCTGTGTGCTAGAATATAAAGTTGTCCTTCATATCAATATGTAAATTAGATTTGGGAAAATTTTGAAGCATTAAAAGAGTTTTTCAATTGAGCATTGTAAGGTTTAGACTGTTTTATCAAGCCATTTCTAATCAGCAAATTATTTATGTTTGCCTTCCAAGCATGGTAGGAGAAGATGATGAGGACGCAGTGAGCGATTCGGAATTAAATGAGCCTTTAAAAGCAGATGTGTTGAGTAAAAAGTAAGTATTGTCACAGAAAATTGGCTAAATGTTCAGATAATTTTCTCTTTTCCAGAGTAGTTTTCTTTTTGGAAAGGTATTGCTCTTTTCTCTACAAGTCAAATTTTTGCTATTAGCAAATGAAGTCGTTTTTGGTGCTTGCTAGTGCCACTGGTACTTAAAACCTCTGAGAGGTGGTTACTACATGTAAATATGGTAAAAATGTTGAACAAAGCAGTTAGTAGGAGCGTTCTGAAATTGTGTGTATTTTAAATAGTGAAGAACGTGCTGCTTCAGCATTTTGTGTTGCATGTTTTATGTAGACTGGCAGCTGCAGCTGAAGGAAGAGGACCCAAGATTATAGCAAGGCGAGAGGAAAGCAGCGAGGAGGAGGAAGACGATGAAGAATTAACACCTGAAGAACGAGGTAGACGAAACTTGTTTTCTTTGGGTTCTTTTCTTTCTTTTTTTTTTTTTCTACAAATAGTTTCACTTTTTCAGTGAGAAATATTTGGGAAGAAAAAGTACTATCTAACAGAAAGATTTTGTCATTTGAAAATGGACATATAAGGCCTTTGAAGGGTAAAGGATTGAACAGAAATGCTGTTTGTTTCTAATTAGTACTGTTTGGTTTGGGATCTACATGTAAAGAGGAGTTTGCTGTTACTGGCTGCCCCCTTGCTGCTTAAGGTGTGGGAGTTCCTCTTAAGAAACCTAGACTTTTCAAATAAGAAGCTCTTCTGGTTCTGGGGTGAGGGAGTACTTCTTAATTTGAACGTATTTCAGGTAGACTTAACAATTCCATGAGTACCACTGCAATTAAGATGCTATTCATTGCTTGCAAACATACAGATGATATTTCTGTTGTTTCCAAAGGATCTGGTAGAATGATCCGGTGGGAAATCTACATTTAGACCTCGGCAAACTGCCTCATGCATCTTCAACAGAGATGTTGTTTTGTGTTAGGTTGGGCTAGAACATTTTGAGGAAGCAGTTAAACAGTAATACTTCTAAGGTTTCAGGCTTGCATTATCTAGCTGTTGCTTCTCATCTTTCCTGGCCCCAACTTTGACCATGTAACCTTACTATTCTAAAGGAAGAAAAAAAACACTATTGGGGCTGCCAAAAAGCAAAGTTCGATTTAATTATAATGCATTAGTGCTAGACCTGCTAACGTTTAATATACGGTGCAAAGTTAGATTTCAGGCCATGGGGAAAATGGAAAATATTTTCTTTTACATGTGGTAAATATATCTCTCATAACTGGCCTTTGGTAGCTAGCCAGGAGTCAAGTTGGACATCTGCAAAAGTTCATCTTCTACCCCTCTAGTACGTCTCCATTTGTCCTTAAGTTCACTTAGAAACAAGGCTTGCGAAACTTTGGAATTTCTTATGCTGTTATTAGATGCTTCTCTTGGTTCAGACGCGCCCTTACTTGCAGACAGGTTCTTTTAAAAGAAGTACTTCAGCAATTCCAGTCTGTTAATTACCAGCCTTTTTCTAAGTCAGACTCATTTAAAAGAAAATAATTTTAATTCCGTGATTTCTTGATCATACAATCAATGAACTTTCAAGGTAGAAATAAATATGACCTAGGAAGCAATTAGTGTCTCTTTGAAGAGGAAATAGGTTGATATTTTTTTAAAAGGGGCCAAAATTAATAGTTGTGTTTGTTTGTCCACAGAGAAAAAGAAACAGTTTGAAATGAAGAGAAAAATGCACTACAATGAAGGACGAAACATCAAACTGGCAAGACAGCTCATTGCAAAAGAACTACATGGTGAAGAAGAGGAAGATGATGAAGATGAAGAGATGCGGGATGCTGCAGATGTAGAAACAATGAATACAGAAGTTACTGAACATGGTGAGCTACTGGTGTAATCAAAAAGCATGTTTGTGTACTGGTGGTCCTTTCAGCTGAATACACCCCAGTGTGAGAATGAATAGCAAGGGTACGCTGCGTAGCGCTGAGTGTGCAGTACTGCATGCTGTCTCCATAGGTATTTTTGTAGCATGGTACCAAAAGCATCAGTGTTGCTAATTAAGCGTGTGGGATTTGTTTGTTCTGACATACAGGAAAGCAAACACCTCTGCTTCATACAATTTCCCCAGCATAACTGGCTCTCGGTAGCGAAGTTGCCAGCATCCTTTTTAAAGGAGGAGTTGTCCTGTATGGAACACTTAAAGCTGTGGCCACATGGGAGGGCTTTAGGTTCTGGTTCAGTTCCCATTCTGCTCCCAAGCTATCCTGTAGCCAGCAATGGGAAACAAGCATGAATGCTTCCTCCCTGAGGAGGGGAGTGTATCTAACTTCCTAAGTAAAAACTTCTCCCTGTCTTAGTGTAACGTAAAACTCCTCTTAGGACTTCAGTACACACTTGTACTTAAGCAGTAATGTTAATTTCTATAGTATAGAATAAGACCCTCAGCTTTGCTTTTAGTGCAGGGACTGGAAGAAAGTCTGGGACTTTCAGCTGGGAGGTGTTTCTGGAACCTGTTTCAGGGCTGTCTCTAGGAAACTCATAAAACTCTACAGGCTGACACCTTCTCTTTCATCTTTAAGCTTCTCTCTGGGTGAAAAGGGTAGACCCTGTGATAGAAGTCTTTGATTTTTGTGGTGGCCTTGTGAATAATTACAGCTGTTCACTGCCCACCTCTGTGAGGAACAGCACGTCAAACAATTTTTTGGCATTAAAAAAAATAGACATCTGTTGCTCATGAGACTAGTGGCAATGAAGTCTGTAAGCCTCATTCATCTGTCGCTTGGCAAAGCCATGAGCCGTTAGCACAGTCTACAGACCTGGGAAGATGCTGCATGGGTTTAACTTGGTTCACATTTGCTTTTCACAACCATGTGAACTAGGAACTCTTCTAAAATGAGTTTAAATTGCACACAATAGAAAGGTGATTTGCAAAGTTGCTTGTTTTTAAGTTCTGTGGATTGCACATGTTAGTCCCATTATTTGTTACAGGAGGACTAGTGCCTTCATAATTGTTCTGGAAGGGTCATTTGGTACGTGTCTGAGACCCGTTAATGGACTGACTTTATCCAGTAACTTACCATAGGCCTTATAATGGCTATTTACTAGAACTTCACTCTCCAGGGGAAAGGAGGGCTCCAATAGGCAACCATATGACCTTTCTCCATGGCCTGAAGCTGCCATCTTGCTGCTCTCTGCTGTAAAACAGAGGCAACTCCGCTCCCCAGCTGCATTCGCCAGTGGAAAGAAGTCACACCTTTGCAGCATTTTTCCATCTCTATTGTTGAAGTCCATTCCACCTTGCCTCATAACCAACTTCAGAGCCACAACTGGTAATTATCTGTTTTAGACTGCTCATGGCCAATAGATTCCATAAATGTAACTGTTTGCCAGTTTATCAACCCACTGACTAACTGGGGTATAGAAATACTTTCATTAACTTGGTGTAGTTCTCAATTCTTCATTTTTGTTTTGTGCCATTCTGCTTAACAAACCTTCATATCTCATTATCTCCTAATCTCTGCATCAACTATCATGGCTTTTAGGTCTCTCTACTTCATAAATTCTTCTGAGGTTAAGTACTGGTCTCACTTCAGTAATGGCTGGTGAACTGAATGCCCTCGGACTCTGTGCCAGGGTAGTTCCAAAGAAAGATAGAATATGGTCAAAACTGTTAATAAATCTGTTTTCTGCCACTATCTACATTTAAAAAAATTACCTACATTGAGATGATACGCGTTCAGCGACATAGCCATGTTAATGTCGAAGTTTTACTGAAATAACCTTTTTTGAGGTGACATCTCTTTATTGCTCTCTCATTTGTATTCTGAGGGCACAAAAGAATCTCCTTACTCATAAATGTTAATTAAACAGATATTGGAGCTACAGAATGTTTCCCGAATAGCTGGTTTTAACATTTGCTACTTGGATTCTTTGCTAGTCTGTGCTTTGTCACACCATGCTTTTGGTTATAGTAGGCAGTTGGGTATTCAAAACAGTATTTCAATTTGGTTGTTTCCTTCATGGAAGTGAATCAAAATGCTGTTTATTTTCTTGTTCCTGAGATTCCCCTGTTAGGACTGTAAGCATGGGGAAAGATTATTCATCTGGATAGCTTTCGAAGAGCCCTTTGACTTCAAATTGGTCTATTTTAAATTGCTTTCTTACAGAGTGGAAAAAGAGGCTTTTCTTTACTCAGTATATTGGGTGATGCAGGAGATGATTTTTGGGATGGCTTATTTTGGCATTACTCTATGCTAAACTGACTAACAGCTCTGATGCTTTAGCTGCAAGGGGAAAGTCTGTCTCTTTCTGCATGTTGTGCTGTAGCTACATTTTGATAATTTCTTTCATTCAACTTCAGTCTTTCTGAAGTTCCGGGGATCATCTGGTGATGTGGCTACCACTCACCTCTTGTATCTGAGACGGTAATTCTCTGTGAGTGAGAGCTGGCATGCAGTGTCTTTTTATTGCAGTGGAATAGCGTAACTTCTGTGGTACTGATGATCGTTCCAGGTAAAGATGCGGCACAGGAGACGTTCCTCAGTGGTCTGTTGCGACTCAAGGGCACTGGCTTCTGGATTGTTTTTTCAGGCAATTTGAGACCCTCTTCTCACTTGGAATTATTTTTTTTATCCATTATAATCCTTTAAAGGTTCTGTGCTTCCCTTATCTGATGCTTCTTTCTACCCTCTAATACTGTCTGTTTTCTATTTGATTAAAAGTAACAATACTCTCCTAATCTCTACACTCCCTTTTAGAAGAAGGGGCTAGCGACTTAGGATAGGTTTTTAAGAAAGCTTCTGTCAGATACCCCAAGGTCTGCTAATATGAGTTGCACTTCTTGGTTACAGACTGAGATTTCTTGGCGGTTGAAATGAAGATGGCCAGTCCAGTCAGTGATGGTGAGAACTGTTTGTATATTTTTGCCCCTGTCTTCATCATGGGCTACCAAGTGTTTTAAGCGGATGGGTCATTCCTTTTGTGCCTCAAGTAGCTGTAACTTAACCCATGCACATGGATTCTAGGAGGCAAGGTTTTTGGTGGAAAAGAAAGTTCAAGTTGTAGTAGAGTGCCTTAGGATTGCCTGCTTCAGCATTTCAGCTCTGGAATTTCTCTGGCTACTCCCTATTTATGACTCCATGAATGACATAAATAGACTTTGCCAGCAAAACAGTGACCTTTGTTCCTCTCCACAAACACTTTTTCTTTAAAAACTCTCTTTGAAGCTATTGAAGATTTCTGATGTAGGTAGATTTAAGCATGATGATTTCAGCGCAGATTTGTCGCTGCTTCTGCTACACAAAAGTATCACGTAGGAGGGTGTGATCTGTAGCACTTCAATTGACAAGCAGTAGAACTATTGTTCTCTCCTTAAGGTTCATTTAGCTTTTGGTGCTCTGATAACCCTGCTCAGATACTGCTGCTCAGCTGAGCTGTCAGCTGACTGGGTGTGCTCTCTTGGCCTTTGGTAAATACAGAATACATTGTATTTCCTTACCCACAGTGAGCATCACCCTAAAGGTGACTTAAATGAGAAGGCTGGGAGCATACACAAATGGGTGCTGCTCGTTAGCTATACTACCCACTTGTTAAACTTGTTACCAAGTCTGACTTGTGCTGAAGCCTAACTGGCCTTTTTTTAAGAAGATTATTATCTGGATGGGGTTTTCTCTGATGTTTGCTTTATGACACTGAATTTTCAGGTGCACACACACATATATATATTTATATATCTATATGGAGAGAGAGTAGGCTTTTTCACCTGAAAAACACTAATGAGAAGCAGCTTTCTCTGATTTATTGCTGCTCCTTGGCTCAAAACCATGAATTTAACAACTTTCTTAAAAAACACAACAGGCTGTGCTTTTTCATTTATAAGCTTGGTTTTAAAGTGTCTCATCTGGAATTTAAATTTGACCTGAAAAGTATTATGCTTGCTCATGTTTCAGGAACCTCATATATTAATTCTGCAAACTGATACCTGTCTTAACTCCTGGGTTAAATCCTCCCAGTTCCAGGGGTGGTGAGCAGTCAGTGTTTGGTAACGCTGAACAGGGGTGCTTCAGAACGTGAGGGTTAAATAACTATTTTGGAAGCTTCCGCACTCCAATTAAAAGCTGGCAGGTTGCTAAAACGGGTTGGCAAACATTACCTTTGGAGAAGCAAAGATAATTTCAGGAGGATTTTTCGTGTGTTTTGAAAATACTCAATGAGTGTGAAGAATGATCTGTTTTTTTGTCATCTTTCTTACACAGCACATGCTACTCGTGACCAGCTGGAAAGTAGAGCACACAGCATAGAAGAAATCTGTCCAGAACTGTAACTGCTTGTCAAAGACACAAATATAAACATCGCTTCATGATTTTTGCAATTAAGGCTCTTAAATATTGAGAAGCATATCAGTTACAATGTTGTATTGCCAAGAATGTTAATTTTAGACTTGTCCATTAGGCAGAAAAAACTGTCTAATTGATTTATTCTTGTGCCTAGTATTTCATGGAGAATACTACTTCATAATCTGTTCAACCAGAATGGCATTCCCTGTATGTGTAACGCTGATTATCTTGCGTCATGTACTGTTACTCTTCATGCTTCCAAACAGACAGTATCTTTGGTTTTTCACTATTTATTTCACAGTGTTCTAGGCGTGGTATCTCTCATGGAAAGGTTTGGGATTCAAGAGCCAAACGGTACAGCATATATCAGATTGACATGCAAGCTATTTATCAGATGTGTTAAGCCGTTTAAAAAGGGATTATTTATGTCTTACAACGTCTTTGTAAAATGTTGACCTGTTAATCTAGATTTCAGGATGTTATTACCTGTACTTTCCCAGTCCTTAGAAGAAGAGCCGTATTATTTTTTTTAAGAGTGGTGTTTGGAATCAGTTGCTTGTTTCTGACTAAGGCAGTACTAACATCTGGCGGAGGGAACGTTTTTACACTGGAAATGTGCTAACTTGAACTTTGTGTTTAACTGTCATTATCTCTTCCATCGGGACTGGATGTTCAGTGGAGCTCTCTTTGGCTTATCGTGAGAACGTGGAAGTTCCCTCCAACTTCTGTCTTAAAACAACATCCACTGTCACTCTTCTGGCTCTTGTTTCAAACTTTTGGTCCTTTCCAGTTGGATGGAGTGCTTGTGCTACTAGCACCTGAGGAGAAACACCCAGCCATGAGCAAGTCCACACCAGGACTGTGAAGATGAGCTGAATTTAGGCTCTGGCTGTTCTTTCTATATAAAGATAACTGCTCCCGATCTCCTGCTCATTTGGGGTTGGTAACCTACATACTGAAAACCACTGGTCTAAATCATCCTGTATCCATTGCAACTTACAGCAGCTGCTCTTGTAAAATGAAGGCGGTTTGGAGAATAGAAGGGAAACTGCCTAATTCATCTACTTGTTTGCAGTGTGGTTGTATAGCCCCTGTAAAGAGGGATTCCGAACCTCCAAATTGCTGTAAACAGCTTTCCACTCAAATGAATTTGACTGGTGAATGTTCCAGTATTTAGAGTAGTTTCTAGGTTTTATTACACAAATGAAGTATACACTTAAGCTTTAGCTTGGTTATGGAATACAGTGTATATCTTAATTTTGATCTGAATTTCATATGTTTCAAAAGTCCATATAATTATATGGATATATTTTAAAATGTTTTTTTTGTCCACTGTATATGTGAAGTTTGAATAAAGGAATGAAAGTTATTTTACAGTTACATGCATTCTCAAGTGTGAGCTTTCATGAAATCTCAGAGAGATTGAGAGTGAATAAGGCAATAGGTTGCTGTCCTTTGAAAGACATATACAGGAATAATTCCTTAGAATGGATGCGTTGCCAAAGATACCTGTGAGTTGTGCTACCTGGGAGTTGCTGTGTGCCTTTCCCAACTATCTTCTCTCCTTAGTAGGTAACAGGGTTGTGAGTTGTGGGATACTCAAGTCTTCTAAGGACCTGAATCAGGGTTAATAGCGTCTTTTGACAAGAAAGAGTTGAACTTTTGATTCAGTCTAGTGTGGTGATGCTAATTTTTCAATATGGAGAATGCTGTTTCTTCTTGTATCAAACATGGTCACTTCTATAGAATAAACAGGAGAAAAGAACATTTAGATACTTCTGACTCCTAAGTCACTTACTGTAGCTTTAAATTTGGCTCCCAAGAATATGATTTAAAACCTTAATTTGCACCCTTTCTGTACCAGCTTGCAGTGTTCACGCTGCTGGAGTGTGGGCACCCACCCGTGTCTCAGACTGACCGGCTGCTGGCTGCTCTGCCCCGGGGAGGGCAGCCACACGGCAAAGCTGTGCTGCCTTCAGACTGGAGCACGAATGGGTCAAAATCTGACCCGCCTGTGGGTAATGCAGATGGCTGTGAAACAGGTTACTGGTACTTTGTGATAAGTACCCACAATTAAGGCAGAATCCATCAGAAGCAGCTCTTGTGTGAGCTAATGTCCTGCCCTCTTTCTCCCCCACTTTCTGTGTCCAAAACCTCATTTTCATTTTGGTGCTCAGTGGGGGTACTTGGTACCCTACAATGCCTACAAAGCATTTTGTTTAATAAACAAACAAAAAAATCCCACTCTGCTAACTTCCAATAAACACCTTTCCTGTAATGGCATCCAAAATCCTGGATGAAATGGGTATGTATTTTTGAGGGAGGTGCAGTATATGTAAATCCATCAAGATTTTTTTAAACGAACCTCAGAATGTTATAGTAGGTCCCTTCATCGGTCATGACTTTGAGCTATCTGGGTGATGTCCCTTTTTCCATGCCACCAAGCCCCCAAGTTTTAGTTAGATGCCATTTTGGAACTTGTACTAGTTTATTTATGGCTTTTATTAAAGGCTTTGTTCTCTTCGTTCTCTTCAGTGCTAGCAAAAATTCTGTTCGTGTTTCTTTGTGTTGCTTACCTGGAGTGCAACCTGAGATACCTGGCACTGCTTTTAACTGAAAGGCTGGTTTATTTAATTTTATCCAGGCTTACATCTTCAAGCATTTTAAAAATAGGCAAGTTTATTTTGCAGTAACTAGAGATACTCTATATAGACTTTTTTATAGAGAGATGTCTGATTTCCTTCTATTGTGGAAATATCAATTATTGTTCCCAGCAGAATGGGGATAAGACAAGAAATGCCTTTTCTCATTTTACCTTTGATGGGGACTCAGCTTGCATGCAGGTCTGGATCTTGGGGTACAAAGGGTAAAGGCTCATCTGTACAGTAGAGAGTGGTGTACAGAGGAAAGAGAAGACATGCAGCCCTTACTCATGTGGACATTGAGCTCCACAGCATCGTAATTGTGAAGCTTCTTGCACAGGTTTAAGTCCTCAAGCTGCATCCTATTCAGAGAAAATATTTTCAATATGCTTCCAATAGGAAGATCACTTGCAAGTAAGAGCCTTAACTCCATCTTTAAAGGATTTTTTCTCTGTCCTTTTAAGTTTCTTTCACACCGAGTGGTACAGTTTATGGAAACTGCAAACATTTTTTCCACAGCTCGCTCTCTTGTGTTGAACTTGTGTATAACTTACCAGAACTCTTTGTTTCTGTAACATGCTTTTTGTGGTGTTTACTACGATACCACCTCACAAATGTAATTACTCTGTTTGAAACCACTGTTAAGTGTCACAACGTAAATAAAACTATTGTTTTCATTACTGTCTTATGGCAGTAATACTAGATGGATTGGTTTGACTTCTTGGAGCTTTTAAAAGAAACCGGCAGTTAGTGTAAAGTTTGTAGGTGTGTTCATAGATGAATACTTAAACTAATATTGTGATTTCCTCATCACTGCACATGAGGAAGTACTCTATAGTGTAGCTTTAATATATATCAGCTTGTACATGCTTTCAGATCTAGTGGCTGCTTGGCATCCTAGATGTGAGAGTAGTTCTGGGAACCTGAATTGTGAGTTTAAGACAGCACCACAGAAAAGGTTGCATTTTTCAAGGAATTTTCTTTGTGTGTTGAAGAATTATAGAAAGACTGGTCTGTCTCTTCGTGGTCAGCATTGAGTAATCGTTCACTAGCATTGAGCAATGGAAAATGACTAACACCAACTACTCCTTAGGAAGTAAAACAGTATTAAAAAAAAGAAAAAGTGCTAGGCTCTCTTTTCAATTGCGCACTTTAATTTGAGAAGTGGATTTCACAACATAAATGTGGCCATAGTGATATAAAAATTTCTTAACTTGCTGCTTTTTGTATGTGGAACAGCTTACAAAAACAAACAATCGTTGCATCTGCGTGACTCAGTTTGGATCTGACATTTCACCAGCCCTCAAAAAAGGGAAAAAACACCCAAACACTGAACCAAAAAGCTTCCCTTTGCTTCTGTGAAAGGACGTCTTAATGTGGGGAGGGACAGTAAGGGTAAAGAGGGCATTCAGCTTCTTGAAAAGGAAAGTCTTATGTTCCCTTCTATGTTGACTATTTCTCCTTGTGAGACCAAAAAGGAACTCAGAGGAGACAAGAGCAGGTAGGATAAGAGAAAGGGAAAGAGAGGAAAAATAGAAGCTTGGTGCAGGTGATGGGTCAGTGGAGGGATGGAGGGTGTGGAGACTGCGGAGGGTGAGCAGGTTTGCTGGGAGCAGGTACGGCAGCTCCTCGAAGTGCTGCAGGAGCTGGGAGTGAACGTCATCAATTCATGTCAGCTTCCCAGGACGGCATCCCTGTCACTGCAGGATGGAGCCTTGCCAGGATATTGCTTCACCTTTGCAAACTTTACCTTGAAGAGAATAGTAACTTGTGCTCCTCTGTCACTGCCTCTGAGGATGGGTGACGCTTCTCTGCCTTTGTCATTTTTACACCTGGGAACGCCAAGCAGTGCCAAACATGGGAAAGCTCTTTTTCTGTTTTCTCTTAAGGGATGAGAGATCTACAGTGTTCCACAGTCCATCACTAAAAGTGGGCCAGGACCAACACAGTCCTTTTCACTCTAGGATGCAGCCCCTGTCCCAAAAGCTTTCAAAAAGTGAAGTATATAAACCAATATAGGTTAGGGATGGACCTGCTGGAAAGCAGTTATGAGGAAAAGGATCTGGGGGTCCTGGTGGATAGTAAACTATCCATGAGCCATCAATGTGCCCTTGTCGCCAAAAGGGCCCATGGAATCCAGGGCTGCATAGAGAAGAGCATGGCCAGTAGGTTGAGGGAGGTCATTCTCCCCTTCTACTCTGCACTGGTGAGGCCACAACTGGAGTACTGCGTCCAGTTCTGGGCTCCCCAGTTCAAGAGGGACAGGGAACTGCTGGAGAGAGTCCAACATGGGGCAACAAAGATGATTAAGGGATTGGAGCACCTCCCTTATGAGGAAAGGCTGAGAGAGCTGGGACTCTTTAGTCTGGAGAAGAGAAGGCTGAGGGGAGACCTTATTAATGCTTGTAAGTATTTAAAAGGTGGTGTGAGGGAGGATGGAGCCGGACTCTTTTCAGTGGTTCCCAGTGACAGGATGAGGGGCAATGGGCACAAGCTGGAACATGGGAAGTTCCACTCAAATACGAGGAAGAACTTCTTTCTGGTGAGGGTGATGGAGCACTCAACAGGCTGCCCAGGGAGGTCGTGGAGTCCCCTTCTCTGGAGATCTTCAAGCCCCACCTGGATGCAATCCCGAGGGATGTGCTCTGGGTGACCCTGCTTTAGCAGGGGAGTTGAACTAGATGGTCTCTAGAGGTCCCTTCCGACTCTGACAATTCCGTATTCTCGGGCAGATGTTCCGTACGAAACCCATACACACACCCCCGATATTCTTCGTGCACAAACGCCCCGCTGTTCGCCCTGTCCCTTCACAGGCAACGCTGGATCCCCTCAACTAACACAAACCCGCAGTGAGTTCCCAGATCAGAGACCGGAGCGCGCTGGAGACCATCCGGACCCGCAACTTCTCTTCGGTGGCTCCGGAGTCGCTCCCCGAGGGAGGGGGATCCGGGTGCCCTCCCACCGACCCGGCCTGGCCTCCCCTCCCCATCTCCCGCCCGGCGGGGCCTCCTGCCCCCTGCAGCCGCCTCGGCTCCTCCGGGCGGGGGCCGGCCGCCACCAGGCCTCACCTGCTCAGGTGGGCGCGGGAACCTCCCGCGCATGTCTTATCCCCCGAGGGAGAAGTTCCCCTGCTTAATTAATAGTTTTAATTAGAAAAAAATAAATAAAATTAATGGGTTGAAGGCAGTAGCCGGGGAGCGCCTGGCCCCGCCCGCCGCGCCCAGCCCCTGGGGAACGTCATCCGCCCCGAGCGACGGGCGGATCGGCCTATCGCAGCGCTGGAACCGCCCTCTCAGTGTTTGTGAGCGCTGGGATTGGTCTTCCTCGTAGCCTTAGCAGTGGAGTTTACCAATTGGTGGGAGGCCAGTGGCAGCTTTCCCATTGGCTCGCCAGGCTGTCACTCTTCAGGACGCCCCATGGGGAAGTAATCCCTCCGGCACCCGGCTGTTGGCTGCCTCCGCTGAGTGGCCCACCTTCCTCGCCTTGTGATTGGCCAGACCGCTCCCCTGCTCTTGCGACTGGATGGGCTGGCTGTCCTTCCCCTGCTCTACGCCTGTTTGGGGGAAGCCCCGCCTCCGCTGGTGCCTTATTGGTGTTTTTTCTGCTAGGACCTGCCGTCCATTGGCTCTCCGGGCCGTCAGTCGCGTCGGAGGCGGGCAGAGGGGTTGCTCGGCGCGACGCTCCCGCAGCCGCCGCTGGGCCCCGCCGCCGGGCTCCACCGCCCCTTCATGAGCGCCGCCCCTGCCTAGCCCCGCCTGGCGGCCGGCCTCGGCTCGCCTCGCCTCGGGCTCGCCGCCACCAGCAGCAGCAGCAGCGGAGGAGGAGGCAGCAGCGGGGTCCCCCGCGGCAGGGGAGGATGAAGGTGACCGTGGACTTCGAGGAGTGCCTGAAGGACTCGCCGCGCTTCAGGTACCGCTGGCGAAGGGGCTGGGCCGGGGCCGTGCGGCGGGGGGACAGGCCGCGGTGGG